TCCCCCCACCCCGCCAAAATTCTTCTAAAACTCCCCATGGTTAGATTGCACCCAAGTTATCGGGCATCTATTGATTGAGTGGTGCTTCCAGGGAATTAAGTGTTCAAATATAAAGTATTGTTACAATATTTTAATCTGTTTAGTTTACTGGGTATAAGATAAAGAACATCATTCAAACATTTTTTTTTTCATTGGGGACTAAAATAACTTTCTAAGTTGCAGATATAAAAAGGTCTCTTTATTGTACACTTTACAGTGATGACATGTGTTCCTTTTCTGCAGAAGAATGTAGAAAGGCATAATTAAATTTGTAGCTAAAGATTATATATAGAGTTGAAGCACACATGTGTATAACCATTTCCTTTGAAGTTCAGTAAATATGCGAAGTGATGTTTGATGTTCAGATACAAGGAGCACAGGACCGTGTCACACAATGTTCCAGTAAATGTGTGGGAAAAATAGAACGATGGTCATTTAGTGTGTGAAAATATAATGGTCTTTGTTGCTGTATCATTCATTGGCTGGAAGAAAGCATGGAAAATAGACTGTCTGTTATTAAGCATAATAAACTAACATTAAAGAGCCTTTAGTGTAAGCAAACTGTTTGTACTCAGATACACAGCTCCAAAATATTATATTATTGGTCGGAGAAGTAAGTAAACAGCAAGATAAAAGAAAAAAAATGGCTCACGGGTATATTAATAATTGTATCATTATTTTCACATTGCAAGAATGTAACTACCTGCACAGTAAGAATAGTAATGAAGACAATGTAGAGTATAACATCCATTAGCGGAATAGAACTACGTGAAAACAATTGCCAAAAGAAATACAGATCGCAGGATTTTACCAATTTATTCTGCTTATATAGCCTAGAACTGAGAGTAGTGTACAAAGCAACATAATAAGTGAATGTTTATTCTGCTGGATGAATTTTGCACAGCAATACCATTTTTATTTTCACTCCTTTATTATTTCTACTTTCCTCCCTATTTTAGGCAGTAATATATAAATGAAATGCTGACAAACATATGGTATATTTGTTAGAGAGAACTGCAGTTTGGCAGAATTAGATGCGCACAGGTTAACATTCATTTATAGGCAGTAATGTTTATAATGCTAGTTTTCCAGGGGCCGATACGCATCAGTTGATTCTGGCACTTTTTGTTCAGCTGTGCCATATGAATACATAGGAGAATATTTATGAAGCAGTGAATGTGATATTTACCAATCATTTACTGGTGGGGAATTCATCACAGTCATTAAAAAAAATGCCCCTGGAAGATTCAACTGCAGTGAATGTCATATTCACTACTTTATAAACATGCTCCATAAAGTAATTTTACGCTAGTAGTCCTCATTCAAAGGGCTTCTGTTTGGGAAAGCCACAGAAGCCAACAAAGTAGATTTCATACAGATGCCAGATACGTTGTTTCTATTAAGCACCTGTGTGCACCAAACCTAAAAATGAGGCCACATGTAGATAGTTGCTTCTTTTTTCCATTCTGCTTGTGTCGTGTTTTCCTTACTGCTTGTCTGTTGTGCATTACTTTTTATGTGGGCAAAATATCAAGATAAAGACAGCCATATGTATGACAGTGGACAAGAATCTAAAACTGGCCATTGAAATCAGGAACTGATTAGATGTGCATGTCCAGTCTAACTATCCCACATTGGGGTTGATTTATTTATTATACTGAAGGAGTAAAGCATGTACACATACGCAAAGATTACGTAATCATATACAAGGAGATTTATAAAGTAAAATGATGGCAGTTGGAGTTTTTCGTCACAAGATATTTGTGTTACTGCTTATCAAATCTATTTTTTTTAGTAATAAATACTCTCAAATTAATTCTAGTGCACACAAACATAATATAAAAAACTATTTTTGGATTTTATAAGATGACATTGTTTCAAGTAAATATATACACATGTCAACCCTTAAAATTGTGCACATCTATGGGTGCGCACCCAAAGTGTACGTATGCAATCATACGTATACTACGTGCAATCTAATATTTTATTTATTTTAATGAATCTTTCATTTTTTTACGTTTTTTTTTTTTACTTTAACTTTATTGGTATCACAGGGGGCTGATATCTTCTGGGTTCATTCTTCAATCATCTACTGCTGCTTTGCACCCTGATACACACCATGGAGGTCCCAGACACCCAGGAGGGAAAATCAGCCTGGAACACATGACGCTGGGGGTGGTGGGCAAGGGGGTGTTTGCAGTATCCTCCGCAGCATGTAAAAACGATTTGGCCAGAAATTTGTTTACATCCTGGCACATCCTTGCATGTAGGGTGTAATTGGCCTAATGGGTAATACTCGTATTAAAAATACACATCTTTTAAATAACATGCCGAACATTGGGGCATGTCTTAAACCTGCCTGTGATCATGTAAAGTTGTGCACCTGTACGATGCACTCCTGCAAAAGTGACATTTATAAAAGAACTACTGCCGCTTAATGACCCAGCCCAGGGGATATCCAGCCCTCACCTTACGCAAATGAGTAAGTAATACCATTTGATACTCATTCACAAAAAAATGTAAAAGCAAATAAAAACAAAGACATCATAGAAAAAGTCCTTTGCAAAAAAAAATAACAATGCCCCCTTGGTAAATTTAATATCAGTTACATCATCCAGCAACGTAGATCCAGCAACAATCATGATGAGTGACCCCCCCAATGACACGCTGCAATGATGCTGTTGCCCTGTAGCTACTCCCATTGCAGATGTCTGCCCTCAGCTGGCTGCTGCATGTTAAAAAAAATTGGCCGGAGAAGCTGGGTGAGGTCATTGACCAAATATGGTCATGGCGATATTCGGTTAATGATGTCCACCTGGGAACCCTGTCAGCTTGTTTGCAATATGAAATAAGACAGGGGTAACCTATCATTTAGTTGTGCTAGTACCACTGCTAAATGAATCACTTCCAACTGCATCAGCTGGAGGCATGGGAGGGTGGGTGACCTGGACAAATCTGGCCATTTTGCCTGTGAACAGACTGGGTTCGGGGCAAACTCATGGTTGACCCAAACCTCAGGCTCATCCCTAGTCAACATATTTCCACTTCAATCATTAAGCTAAGGGAAAATTCACTTTGCAAAGGAAGTATGTTGTACTCCTCCTGGACCAGAAGCACTATAGTCCCATAAGCGCTTATATTTAGGAGAATGAAGGAGGGAGGGGGAGTCAGTAGACAGTCTCAGAGCCATAGGAAACAATGGCAATCAGGCAGGTTTTCTTTCTTTTTTTTAACCTGAGCAATCACTTTCCCAAGAATGCTCAGTTAGGGCTACTGTATGCTGCCCTGTAGACAATGTCTGTCGCCTTATCTGGCAAAAAAGACATGATTAGGTGATTGTCATCTATGGGCACTTTAAGATTTTCTACTCAGGGAATTATTAGGATCAGTTAGTTGTAAGGCCATATTTTCTACTTTTCCAATGAATCCACACCTAGACCATTCAGATTAGGAACTAGTTCAGTAGTGCAACCAAACAAGAAGTTGCAACCTTACAGAATGAGAAAAGATGTTCATAGTATGGTTTGCATTGAATATTAATACATATCCACTTTATGGAGTGTAGAAATGTATTCACTGTCATGTGCTAACTTGCAGATTACTCCATGGTGAAGGTGCCTCAGGCTTTGAGTTTGCCACACTACCGATTTCCATCTGAAGGACAGTCTTACATCTCTGTTCCTGGGGAAGCATTTCTAAGCAAATGTAAGTTCACACTACCATTCCTCCTGCAATCCTTACTTTGTCATATATTGTCTTTTTATTTTACACCAGTTCAAGGTAAACTGTAATGATTTTAGGGCAATTTTATTTTTTACAAATTTCAATTTTATTTTAATGCAGAATGCACCCATGACACTGGTTTTGCAGTGCATTATGAGTTTAATAAAGAGAAAACACAGCAATAGCTGTTGCTTTTCAAACTCTCTCTCTAATTAAAACTCTGGAGCTATGCAGAGCAGTAAGAGAAGGGAGACAAGTCACTCCTCTGGCTCACTCAGCTTTGTAAACAGGTGGCTTTCATCAAGGATTAGTTTGCTAAACATGGGAAAGTGAGCCTACAGCTCCACCTACTGACTGGAAAACATAAATATTTAATATTCATGTACACCTATTTATATATTACACATATATTTATAATATATCTCAATTATATACACTTACCGGCCACTTTATTAGGTACACCTGTTAAATTGCTTGGTTACACAAATTGCTAATCAGCCAATCACACGGCAGCAACTCAATGCATTTAGGCATCTAAACCGAGCATCAGAATGGGGAAGAAAGGGGATTTGAATGACTTTGAATGTGGCATGGCTGTTTGTGCCAAATGGGCTGGTCTGAGTATTTCAAAAACTGCTGATCTACTGGAATTGTAACACACAACCACCTCTAGGGTTTACAGAGAATGGCCCGAAAAAAGGAAAATATCCAGTGAGCGGAAGTTGTGTGGACGAAAATGCCTTGTTGATGTCTGTAACGCTTATGCAAGTTTGTAGTTTCAGCACAGCTCGAGAGCCAAGGTTGCCTACCCCTGGGCTAGACAATGTATCTTGCCGTGAATGATACAATTCGGTTATACCATGAACTGGGATAACGGTGATTCAGGTACAATTCTACAACATATGCTCTATGGTGAATGAGAGCGATCGTATGAACTGTGGAACATCATACACACCGTGGAGAATAATACGTAATTGAGTCATGCACAATTTATTGCTGCATTACCTCATGCAGGCAACTCCCTGGACCCAATTATATTTCAACTGATAAACTTATAAGGAAAAGAATATACCAGGAAATACTACCTATAGGTTAATATGTGGTCAGGATGTAGCAGGAATCTGCAGTTCAATATTCTTGCACAGCTTAACTCATACAGTGTAGTTACTTGAAGCAGTGATAGGCACAGTTTTAGTAATTACTGACCTCCCTCGGATATTCCTAACTACGCAATGCAAGCGGTATTAAGTACTTGTAGTTCACACACATCAATCAATAGTCTATTACTGCCATAGAGTTGAGCAAGTGTAATATGATAATATGATGGAATCCTGCTTGCATAGCAAGTGTTACACTCCCTACGGTAGTAATTAGCAGATGAGATTTGTAGTACAACAGCACTTCAATCAAACCAGTCTATTGTTGCAACAGAGAAAAACAATTGTAACACAAAGGGAAATTAATCATGCTTGCGGAATAAAAATGACGTGTCCCATTATAATGAGTGGCAGCTGCGATTTGTAGTTATGCAACTTGAACCCATAACACCTTCACATGAGCTGTGGGCATACTTGCGATTTGGTGGTCTAGGTGCAGCAGCAGCTTCCCAGCTCTTTGAGTGGACATCCCCAGTGTGGAACTCTTCAGATGATTTTCCCCCAGCAGTGACATCCAGCAATAATAGAGAGAGGAGTGGAAGCAGCAAATATTAAGGATGGAGAGCGGTATAGTGACGGAGGGGACGATTGCTCAGCGTCCCCAACAACACTAGGACGCCAAGAAATCGAGAGCCCAGCTGTTTTATCTGACAGCCGGCATGAGCGGGTAGGAGCGGTATGTAACTGCCAACGTGACAGAGAAGGATCGAGGCGATGCCGCTGGAGTGGGTGGAGCCGGATCGAGCGGAGGTAAGTTTATTACAGTGTCGGAGGTCAGAGGAGAGTGGGCAGACTGGTTCGAGATGATAGAAAAGAAACAGTAACTCAAATAACCACTCGTTACAACTAATGTATACAGAATACCATCTCTGAAAGCACAACACGTCGAACCTTGAATCAGATGGGCTACAGCAGCAGAAGACCACACCGGGTGCCACTCCTGTTAGCTAAGAACAGGAAATGGAGGCTACAATTCACACAGGCTCTATTGTCCATATTGTCAAAATTGGACAATAGAAGATTGCCTGGTCTGTTGAGCCTCGATTTCAGCTTCAATCTTCAGATGGTAGGATCAGAATTTGGTGTAAACAACATGAAAGCATGTACCCATCCTGCCTTGTACAGTATCAATGGTTCAGGCTGGTGGTGGTGTAATGGTGTGGGGGATATTTTCTTGGAACACTTTGGGCCCCTTAGTACCAATTGAGCATTGCTTGAACGCCACGGCCTACCTGAGTATTGTTGCTGACCATGTCCATCCGTTTATGACTACAGTGTACCCATCTTCTGATGGCTACTTCCAGCAGGATAATGCACCATGTCACAAAGCTCACATCATCTCAAACTGGATTCTTGAACATGACAATGAGTTCACTGTACTCCAATGGTCTCTACAGTCACCAGATCTCAATCCAATAGAGCACCTTTGGCATGTGGTGGAACGGGAGATTAGCATCATGGATGTGCAGCTGACAAATCCGCAGCAACTGTGTGATGCTATCATGTCAATATGGACCAAAATCTCTGAGGAATGTTTCCAACACCTTATTGAATCTATGTCACAAAGAATTAAGGCAGTTCTGAAGGCAAAAGAGGGTCCAACCCAGTACTAGCAAGGTGTACCTAATAAAGTGGCCGGTGATTGTATATTTTTTATGATGTTCCTATGCCTGAACATGGTTACCTGGTATAAAAAGAATACATTATACAAAATACTCTACATTACCTTTAAAGCCACACTCTGGGCCAAGCACTCATTGATCAGCATAGTTACCTGACTGTGCTGACCAATGGCAAGCGATTCTGACCAATGAGAAGCGGTCCTTAACAGTGAGTGCTCCTTAACAGTGAGTGCTCACCATTTCTGAGCAGAATTTTAAATACAGAGCACAGGGCTGTGCTGCTGTGTACAGTGTACAATTGTATTCTGGCAGCCGCAGAGGAGAAGGAATGTTCGCTGACAGTTAAGAGTAGTGGTGGTGGGGGGTGGTGGTTTGTGGAAAATATAGTTTAGTTTTTTTTAAGGCAAAACATAGGTTTTTAGACATATTTCTACTGTAAACATAGACCTTGTTTTAGACCTTTGGATTGAGAATTTGTTTTTTAATTTGTGGAAATTGCTAAGAATAAACCTTTAGCTTTAAATAGATATGTGACATCTGTAAAGTACTTTTGTAAAGAGCAGTTTAGGTTTAAGTCATATTTAAACATAAAATGGACTTACATTTTGTAGAAATCAGAACATTTTAAGTTTTATTTTGTTTTCGTTTTCAGTAAAATGCGAATTATACATTCAGAATCCTTTAAAAAAACGTTCTTCTGTCGCTATACATTATGCAATGATGTGGTGCTTCCCAGCAGTGAAAAAGTAATTTAAATAATTTATATCTCTTAGCGTTGTGGAACTTGATATATCTTTTTCAAACCTAACCTTTTCTTCATCAGAAGGGCAATGAATTTGTTGAAAGAAAAGCTGGCTCTTTTTTTTTCTTTTTCCATTAAATCACCATGCCTAGCAGGCCACAGTGGCAGTGATGTATTTAAAATAAGGTGCCATTATGTTTGCATTTTGTGCTATCAGTCTCTGATTCATGATAGGTTCTTCACACTTTAAATGAACTCAAAGCTTGTCATTCAGAAATCACTAGGCAGCTGCACAGTCAGTGCCAATGGGAAGATGAGGTGATATTAAAATAAGGCAGTGAACGGAATCTGACCAGCTGGAAGAGAGTTAGGGCACAAATAGACTTTGCATAGTATATGCTTCAGATATCCACATTTATGAGTTAGAGCGTAATGGCCAAGACACTACATCTACATTGAGTTTAAAGTGTGATCATTATTTCAAATGTCAGGTGGGAATGGATAAATATTCACTGTAGGGTGCCTAGAGAAATGCTGATATTGTGTACATTAATTAAGTTGAATTACTAATAAAACACCTGAATTTACCATATAAAGAACAGGAGAAATCATGTTTACTGAAAACAGATCCCAATATAAATAAAACCAGTCCAAAGTAGGTTGATGCAGCTTAGAAGGAACTCAAATGCAGATCAGAAGCAGGTCAGAAGGAAGTCAACTTCAGGACAAATGCAATTGTCACCAAATTAATGATCTCAAAAATGTCTCTCTAATTATTATTTTCTCTAATTGCATGCTTGAGGATTTGGATAGGAAGCTGCACATGCCCGTTTAAACAAGTCCAAAGCCCTTCGACACATGCTATTAAACTAATGTAACGGTACAGCTTTGCCTCTTTCAAAAAGGTGTAATTGCTGCCATTCAGTTGTATTCTCTCCCTATCACAGAAGAAATGTCAGCTGTAAGGCCCCCATGTTGACTGCCCAGTCTCTTGCCTGAGTTCAAGGCTGATAACTAAAACCTGGCCCATGCTCCCGAAGAAGTGCAACGCTGTCAACTAACAAAACCTTTACTTTTCTATTATCTAAACTTGAAGGTACATTTGTTATGACAATTTTCTAAATGTCTGTGTAAGCACTATGTTCAGGCAATAGATAAAACAGCTGTACATCGTCACACTCAGAGTGACATTTCTGCTTTGACAGAAAGAACACAAGTATATATTGATGTGTCATGTAATTCCTGAAAGGTAAGGCTAGACTATTATAACCATTCACAAATTGAACTTTATGTAGTTACAGGTGTATATTGGTACCTGGTTTTCTTAAACTTTTACCAAGAAAATGCAATCCATTCCTCCAAAAAGCTGACTTTCTTAATGGTTCTGTAAATACCAGAGAGTAAAACCTAAAAACTAAATTAACCTTTGTGGTCAACGTTAACTTTACATTATCTGCAATTGGGAAGCTGGCACAGGGTTTGGGTGTTTTCCCCTTAAAGTGGAAGTAAAGTCTTCTTATCAAAAATTGCAGGCAGGTTTTTTTTAGACCGAAGAGACTTTGAAAGCTTCCATCTGCCTGTCAACAGTTGTTTTTAATGCGCACTGAGCTGCAATGCAGGAATTACATAATGCTAGCCTGCCCAATCAAGAGGCCAAAAACACTGAGGGCCGGTGCACACCTAGGCGATTTATCGCGCGATATCGCGCAAAACACAGATTGGCATTGAAGTCAATAGAGACTGCTCACACCTTTGCTGTTTGTCGCGCGACCAAAATCGCCTGTCGCGCGAAAAGGTGCAGGAGCTATTTTATGGGTCCCATAGACATCTCTATGCATTGAAAAACGCGGTTTACAATGTACAGTTGCACAATCGAAAACCCACAACAACCGCGCAAAAACAGATCGCCTAGGTGTGAACCTAGCCTCAACCTGGAAGAAAACTGGGTGAAGATAGAAGCACCGGCGATGGAGGGGATCGTCTACAAGGAAGTCGGTTATAATGTGCTAATATGCTTTTATACATACAAGCAATGCTTCTAATATATTTATCTAGTTTTCTGTCTCCTTTTCTTCTAAATTCTTACAAAGTATTCCTTTACAAAAACTAAACATCTGTCCACACCACCACTTCTCTCCCTGTTATGCTATGTAAAAAGCAAGTTAGGATTCAAATCGCTGAAATCATTTCAAAATTGTTTAGGTTTTACTATTTAGAGAGCACTTTTTTGGTTATTTAGGTGACTGTAACAGCTTGGACGTGGCCTAATTCTTTTTAAGACTCTAGCAGCTCAGGAAAGGAGTGGCAGAAATAGAATGTAAAGAATGTTTTCGAGCATGTAAAGAACTTGGTTTTCACAACATAATGCTGTCAATTATTGAGTTGGTGTGATGTGTTGAAAGTGATCTTTAATTAACAGAATATTTCATGTTTGCGTGAGACATGTGTGTAATGTTTTCCATTTAACTCTTTTTTTATTCAAGCTCGCACCACAATTGTTGGGTTGCTGTACCATACAATGCATCGACACTACAAGCAGATTAAACCTAGTGATACGAGGTATGTTCTTAGTGTTGAAAAACTGTCGTTCTCTGTAAATAAAAACTTCACTTGGCCTAAAGCAACTGTCAGACCACTAACATTTTACTAAAAAGCTTTTCACCTGATTTTCGGTAGTTTATTTCCTTTTTTTCAGTTTTCAAAGTCACTCACACAAAAGCTGCCCAAATTATCCAGCAACTAGGCAATAACAGTTAGAGAATGAAAGTTCGATTGTGATTGGTTCTCGATTCATAATTCTTGTGAAAAGTAAATCGATAAATAAGGCACAGCATTTCCACACTTTTGATTGCTGTTTACAGGTAAAGGTCAATCCACAATCCAACCACTGTTGGCGAAGCAGCTTGTAATGCCTTGAGATGCCTCTGGAGCTTTCTGACAGAGCTAATGGGAAATGCATGGGAAATCTCAGTACAGATATTTAAAAGTGTTGAGTCCTCAGTAATTTTTTTAAAATCTCTAACCCTTAAAGGAGAACTATGGGGTTAGGGCTTTTTCCCATAGTTCTCCTTAGGGTAACGGGAGGACACAAACTAGTGCCCTCCCATCACCCTAAGCTCAGTATACCGTGAGCTACAGCTAGCGGTATACTGAGACGCCGCAGTATACCGCGAACTACAGCTTGCGGTATACTGAGACGCCGCAGCTGCGTAAGCGACAGCTGGCTCTGCCTATCTAGAGGCAGAGCCAGCTGTACCCGCCCCCTCCCCCGTCCGTTCCGCCAGTCAGTGCTGGAGGATCGGAGGGGGGAATCCAGCCACTCCCCTGTCACGGCAGAGAGCTGTGACAGGATCGAGAAGTGAGCGAACGCCGGTATGTGTTCGCTCACTTCCCGATCTACTGAGCCGACCTGTGACAGTCTCATTGTCACAGGTCGGCTAGAACTATGAGGTGAGTGAAAAGCACTCACCTCATAGTTCTCCTTTAACATATGTGACTTCCAGCTTTCCCATAATGCAGTTAGGCCTAAAGCCATAGCGGCAAGCCTCTCTAAGAGATAAGACAATATTCGCACACATTTTTTTCCTTATTCAATAAAGATGCAGATAAGTGTATTTACAGTCACAATACTCCACATTTGATATGGACCAGTAAAAGAAAATGTTCTTTATAAAAGAGGTGATACTTTCACAGGTTGTGGTTCCTTAGGGTGCCAATGACTGCGTACCTACAGCCATCAATGATGAAAATCTAGCTTTGACTTTTGTGCTTGACAGTTTCCTGCATTAAGATCAATCATTCTCTTCTGCAGACATTTTTAAAAAGGCCTTGAGATGTTTATGAAATAGAGATGCTTTGATGGTGCAAAGTCTTTATATTGCAATGAAAGATCATTCTTCAGATTTTTTTATTGAAGATAATGAATACTGCTAGGTTAAGAGTGGCCTAAATGTTTAATGAAATAGTTGAACATTTTTTAGAACTTAGCAATATCTATATATTTGATCTTGCTAGGTTATTTTCACCACTTTCATAGTATAGCAAAAAGGAGCAAAGAATGTGTCCAGAAAGTTGTTACAATTTTGTTTTCAACATTGGCCTCTAAATCTTTTTTGGGTTAGCACAATACGTAATCACATTAGCTATGGTTTCTAGGGATGAGTGATCCAATTCATCTGCATTAGGATTTGCAGAAGCCGGATGCCTGCACAACTATTTGGTTGAACTGATAAAAGGGAGTAGTGTCTCCAGCTATGGTAGTGAGATGGTATGGGGGTTCAGTGGACACTTTCAGAGTTAATTTCCCCCAGCAATTATCCAGCATGGGTGTTTCTATGGTAAATATTGCTTATGGCAAGTGCTGAAATTGTGCTCCTGTCAAAACACCTGACAGCCTCATTCTGGCACACCCAGACACACATGCTATAGCTGTTAGCCAGCACACTCGAGTGCTAGTGATGTCTATCGTTAGCTAGCACACATAGACACACACTTACACTGCTGAGCCTGTAAAGTTGGTGCAAAATAAGAAATGTACAGCACAGTGTACAGAATGATGCAGTGTGGAATACAACATGCACAACAAGGTGCATGGAAGGAGGTGACACATACAGGGGTCACATAGCATGGCATATGGAATAAGGCAGTGCAGAATAGGGAATGCACTAATATGGTATAAGGAATGAAGTGGTGCAGAGTAGGGATCATACAGCATGCCGTATGGAATAATCTGGAACAGAATAGGAATTGTACAGTATGTCATATGGAAGGAGCCGGAGCAGAATAGGAAACGTACAGCATAGCATATGTAATGAACCTGTAGACCTCCATCAGCATGGACCCACAACTGATTGCAGTGACAGCTTAGCCAACCCATCCCCCAGGGATAAAGAGAAGTGTATGCTACTTTAGTTATATTACGGCCCATTCAGACTTCCATCAGCGTGGACCCTAACTGATTGCAGTAAAAGGAAAGCTTATTGATCCCCGGTCCAAAGGATGAAGAGGAGTGTATCTCTTTTTAGTTAAGCTGTGCCCCATTCAGACCTTCCTTCAGCACAGACCAGTGGCGGACCTAAGGAACAAAGGGCCCTAGTGCAAGATTTTTTATATGCGGAGTACCTCAACACAGGCAGATGCAGAGGATATCAACAGGGGCAGATGCAGAGAGTCTCAGCAGGTGCAGATGTGGAGGATTGCAGCGGGCCAGATGTAGAGGGTCTCGGCAGATGCAGAGGGTCTCAGCAGGGGGCAAATGCAGAGGGTCTCAGAAGGGGCAGATGTGGAGGATCGCAGCAGGGGCAGATGTGGAGGGTCTCAGCAGGGGCAAATGCTGAGTGTTTCAGCAGGGAAATTGTGTGGGCCAAAGCTCCCAGAAGGCTTCCCAGGGTCCCCAGCAACCGCAGGACCTTACTGCAGCCACTTCAGTTTGGAGTGCTGGACCATGCCTCCTCCAATGGGGGGGGGCAGGATTGGATCTCATTGGGCCCCCCCCCCCAGCCTTGGGCAATGGTGTCGGTCTGCCCCCGACATAGACCTGCTGAGATTGCATTTACCAACAGCTCAGCCAGTTGCTGCTGTCATGAAAGCAAACAGCCGGGGCAGAGGAATGCTTACATTACTTACTCTCTGCATTAGATAGTGTTATCAGTCAGAGCCTGGCAAAATGAAGTGATTAGTGTTGCTTCCTTTGCACCACCTCTTTGTTTACATGTGAGAGCAATAAGTGGCTGCGCTGTCAGTGAGGTTCCACACTGATGGGAAGTCTAAATAGGGCACAGTTTATCTAAAGGGACAAACACCACCTCTTTCCCAGAGTGGTGCAGCCCCTCCCTTTGCCCAAGTGATGCCCAGGGCACGCGCTCTGCCTGCCATACCCTAGATGTGTCACTGTACAGCATTTATATCTAGGTAGCACAGGTATCTAAATCCAATTACCATAGACTATGTAGATGTGGATTGTCCAAGAACAAGATGGAAAGTGTGAAAGTTGTGGAACCACCCTGTTATGTAAATAGAAAAAGGTAGTTCCTCATCTTTCACCCTTCCCATCCTGTTCTTGGACGATTAACTGCATAATTCGCACACAGCAGCGAAGGGTATCCCAACCACCTCTTTTAAATGGTTATTTATGACAGAATTGAATACTTCAGTCCAAAAAGAGAAAATGTAATTCAAGTAGTTATAAGGTCCACTGCTTACTAGTAAAATGTTTTCTTTTCTTAGCGACCTGTTCTTGGTTCTGTCAATTTACAGTCCATGGTGATTAAATAAAGGTATCTGTGTGACCTGTGAGGATATAAATGCTGGGGTATCTTCGTAACACTCATTAAAACTGAAGAAGTGGCTTGGAGAAGCTATCAAATGTCTTCAACATTACAGAACAAGTCCAGTCAAATGTGACTAACTACTACTAGCTGCACCGTGTATGATACATTTTTGACCCTTCACACTTTTACAAGGAAAAGTGAAGGATATGATTTTTCCTAATGAATGCCTCCGGCTAAATAAGTTGCTCATTATTACTTTGTTTAAGTGCAGAAAGGGGCCAATACATACAAATGATGTTTAACTTCAAGATATTCTTTTACTTCTATTGAACTTTTCTGAGATTAACATACAATCTGCAGTTGAAATTATACAATCCATATCATGAGTTGGTGAGGATCTACTTTGGCAGCCTCAGGGTTCAGAGATAGATCTTTCTGTTTGATAAGAAGAAACTTTCTGAAGAAACAGTTACACCTTGTACAAAAGGAGGTTTCAGACTTGGTAATCAGCCATATTACATGAAGAATACTGACAGAACCAAGAACAGGTTGCTAAGAAAAGAAAACATTTTACTTGTAAGCAGTGGCCCTTATAACTACTTGAAATAATTTTTCTCTTTTTGGACTGAAGTATCCAATTCAGTCATAAATAAGTATTTAACCAGTTGACATCCGCGGTGTTAAACCCCCTTCCCATCCAGGCCATTTTTCAGTATTCAGCGCTGCGGTACTTTAACTGACATTTATTCCGTCATGCAGCGCTGTACTGAAATGAATTTTATACCCTTTTTTGGGGACAGATAGAGCTTTCTTTTGGTGGTATTTATTCACCACTGGGGGTTTTATTTTTTTACTATATTAAGGAAAAATTACCGAAATTTAAAAAAAAAAACAGTTTCCCCTATATTAAATGATAAAACATTTATTATTACCCAATTTTTTGGTAAAATATAAAAGATGGGGTCACGTCGGGTAAAAAGACACTAAACATGTCAAGCCTTAAAATTGCGTGCGCGCGCGAAACCTCAAAAAACGATAATACCCAAAATTGGCCCTAGGCGACGCTTTAAAAGCTGTTACCGCTCATCAGTTTAGTGTTATCAGTGATTGATGGCCCTAAAATGATTGCTCTCACTGCGACGTTCGCGGCGATATGTAACATGTGTAGCGCAATTGTAATTTTTGCGCGCTGGGGCACCGGACGCGTATTTACATTTATAGGCGCGTAAACGTGGGGGTGGGGGAGTTAAACATTTTGGGGGGGTTTTTTCCCCTTTTTTTGGGGGTGGT